CGCCACGTCTATTTTTATCGTGTCCACTTTCGCGTGAAACATTTTTCCATGGGAAGGAATTACAGACATTTGAATTAAGAATCATCGCAACATAAAATAGATAAGATCGGATGAAAGATTAAAAGAGAACGATGAAAAATTAATACGCTATCGTTTATAAACGTCCCAATGTTTTGTTCAATTTCTAGAAGCAGTACGTTTTACCAGTATGTACGAATTAATTACAAACAACATTTGCTATCAATCACGCTAATAATTAATAATTTAATACATATATACACTACTAAAAACATTCACCATTTAAATACGACTAATCGTATTCAATCATCTTTTTAGTTAAAAAAAATCGAGGAAAGAATTTGTCGAGTAACGAAATAATTATAAGACGATTACATTATTACAATAATTGCCTTTCAAAAATCAAATTGAATCGGATCAGCGATAATACTCTGTTATACGCAAGCGAGTGTATAAAGAATAAAAACGTTACAGTCTGATTTATCCGTGATTCTATTAATTAAGGCACGTCTTGTTAAAAATAATTAAATATCCGGATATTTTTCAACGCTGGTGTGTACATGCACGATATATACGCGAATAATCGCCCGCGTGGTGGAATATCGAGCGTCGTTAACAGGACAAACGTGTTCCTCTGACTTGCTGTCTGGCTTTGTGATTATCGAACGGCTGGATAAACGGCCAATCACTTCGTTAAAATTATATAAAAGGACGGGCGACTGTGTGTCGTTTTCCGATGTCCCGTCGCGTCGTCCCCTGCGGTCGTATATGCACGCGGGACACGATATCGATGTTAATTGGAGCGACGATTACATTTTAAATGAAACCTCGAGCGTATTTTTCCGGCGAGCGAGCAAGTCGAATGGAAATGCAAAGAGCATTGTGTCAAGTTAAAAAACTGCCTGTGCCGCTATTTACCCGCGTAAACACTGTCGCCAAATAGAGTCAAGAGGCGGCCTTTTATTAAATGCCAGGGTGAAAAACGTTCCTCTGCTGGCCAGGAGTGGATACGCGCGCCTGTGTGGATACGCGAATCAATCCGACAACGAAAGTTGCATAACACGGTGTTTTTTTTTATCGTTTGCATGAACGATTAACGGAAACGGCGCTTTAAGCGGGTGTAATAACGATCGTGTAATACGAAGAATCGTATCGGCCATGATCCTTGCCGAACAATTAACAGACTGAATCAGACAAACGAAATTATTTACACGATCGATCGGATATTAATAATGACCCTTCCCAATATTCGTGGAATTGTCCACGATTAATTATGCAATACTGTTGTCGATGATACACCGCGCTGGTTCTTCGTTTGATCGGCGGATAGAATTTATTTTCGTTTACATTTCGCGTAAATCGTATCGTTCCCGTGGAAAATACACGTTGCACGTGCGGCGAGGATTTTCTAGAAAATTTGAAATACAAAGAGCAGAAATATGGCGAACACTGTAAATAACAAGACTTAATTATTATTGTTGAACTATCAAAGTTTAGGATTAAATCAGACCTTCAAATTCATTACAATCTTCATTTAAATTCATTTAAATCGTTCGAATTTTCAATTTCAATACCCATATCTCTATCGTGAAGAATGAAAAAAATATAAAGTAAAATCAAATACCATAGCTCTTTAGTCGCCTAATACAGATGATCATAAACGTTTCTAAACCAACTATATTTGACGATATTATGCCGAGGATTTTGAGGATTATAGATCGATGTTTGAAGCAAAGGAGAAAAAGAGCGGCGGAGAGAATGTGCCACTGGTTCAATTTCAAAAAGTAATTTCCACGCTTCTCATTTGAAGGACATCACACACGAAGCGTCGTAATACGACCCTGCGAACTCTTCCAATCACTGGGGGCTAAAATCGAGAGAGGGTTTCGAAAATATTCGTAATACTTTTTTCTCGCGGGTGCAACGCGCGGAGATTTATGTGGAACAGTGTCCATGCAGGTGTAATTAAACGTCGAGACTGTGGTGTTGCGCGATGAAACGCGTAGGCATCCTCTGTCTTTGTCTTCGACGGGTTGTTCATACAACGGAGAGAGAGAGAGAGAGATGAGGGAGAAAGGGGCTGAAGCTGGACAGGGTGGCCATAGAGAGAATCCAACGGAGCTTCGGCGTTGTAAACCATGATTGCGTGTAGATTACAGACCACCCGGTAATTGCTAGCGGCCATGCAAAACGCATGACAAAATGTTGCCAGCTAGCGTGAGATCGTGAAAATATATCCGACTCCGAACCATTGTCCGCGTCTTCTTTATCGTTCACGGAAACGGCCGAAATAAATTTCATTAATGCGGTTCCGCGCGCGAAAGAGAATTATTTGTTAAGCTATCGCCGGAGCAAAAAAAAGAAAGACAAGGAACGAGAGCGCGGCGAGAGAATTGTTGCAAACGTTCGAAACGAGTTACGAATATGCCGCGAAATAAAAAGTCGATTCGACGGTCGTTGTTATCGGTTGGAACATTGTGCGATAATTAATAATAATAACTGAAGTGGATTTCCATAAAAAAAAAAAAAAAAAAGAAAACGCGAGCGCTGCATTATCGACGAAATCGAAGCAGACCGGAAGCAAAGTTCATTCAGCGAAACATTCAGCAACCCTTCTTCCCATCCGCAGACGAGTTTACAAGCGAATTAACGGTACGATTAATGGCTGAGTTGCCAGTTAAAAAGGCCACTCCCCTTGGCTGGTGGCGCGATCCAAGCGTTTAGCCAGCGGTGCATTTTAATTGGAAGGGGCGCGATGATAAGGGCAGGGAGTAACTATGATGATGCATCCGTGCTAAATCGTATAATCCACAACGGGGTGTCGGAACAATGGGACTGCTTCGACGAAGATAGAAAGGTCTATTAAGACAGGAACGGTTGTCTTTACAAAAAAGAGACGAACCTTAAAGCTTGGAATACGACTCGAGTGTGATTGTACTATCCGCGAGTCGTTAGAATCAGGGCAACGAAGAAACTGGGACGAAACACCTCCTCGTCCCGCTTCGTTCTCAACGGGCACGTGAGATGGAAACTGCCATAATTTCGTTTAATTATTCCGAAGCCGCGTCGACCAATTAATTAAGCGAAACCACTGTGTTTCGAAACCGTTCAAAAACCAATATACGAGACGTTGTTCCAGCGGGAAATAAAAACTTATATAATTGCGGATAGAGGTACGAACGGGTTGCCTCGTTATTTTATAGAAATATCGAGAGGAACGAAGGGGATAGAAGAGACGTTGATTAAAAAGGTAGAACGAAAAATCTGGCGCTGTCTTTATTCCGTGCATTTATACCTCTTGGTTGCTTATGCACTTAACTTTCACGATGATTACTTGCCGGCGTCATTACTGGACTTTGACTCTTTGCGAACCGGAAACGGGCGGAGTACCAAGCTATTTGTCCTACTTGGCCTACATGTATCCGTAATGCGTGTAAAGTGGGAGTTATAACTTGTCGTTTTTCAAAGGGACGTTCTCGAGAAGCTTTAAAGCGCAAGGATTTACAAGATGCGAGTTTAAGAAAGTGGCGTGTATACGTTTTTTTTTTTT